TTCCTGTTATGATGAAGGGTAAGGCTGGTAGATGTAGGGAATACTTGATGACTAGAGAAATTGAGGTTTTGGTCAAGAATAAGAAGGAAGCATGTGGCAGGTATAGACAGCAGAAATGGAGTGATTCCCTGGAAGAGTATAAAAGCAGTAGGAGTATAGTTAAGAAGGAAATCAGGAGGTCAAACAGGGGACATGAGATAGCTTTGGCAAAGAAAGTGTGCAAAAAACAAGATCAACATGAGATGTGAAATTTGACAGCCGCTTCCCCCAGTCTACAATACAGGAGGGGGGGAAGCAATCAGTTAGTTGTTCTTTTATGGGATTTTGCCTTTTAAATAGATGAGTTATGAAGTACTGTGGGGCATTCTGATGACCAAGTCAGGTCTACGTGCATGTAGACATTCTAAGTTTAAAGAGAACTGAATGTTCAGTAGTGGTACAAGTCCAACTCTCAACAGGAAAAGGATTTAATGAGCATCTACTAGGAAGGTGGCCTCAACTACATTTCTTGAAACCAACTGTTGAAAATAATTTGTCTTCTCAACTAGTCAACAATAACCAAAACTATTTCCTACACACATTGGGAGCTTAAATTCTGTCTCACTAAATCTTAGTTTGTGTCCAATTTGAATGTTATGGAGGTAATAGGTCTGGTTCACCCATCTCCTGAATAAATTCATTACTGACACATGTCCAAACAAAGATTATGGAGACAAAGGGAGAGAATCTTGGTCATTTCCAAATACAGTGGTCACAATCATAGAACTTGCTGGGCTTGGGTGCTAGTTCCTAATATGGTGTTTTGGGTGTGGAATCTGTAGCTCCAATTTATTTAAAGGCTGGAACTTTTTTCTTGCAGGTAACTAGTAATGGTGAATAAAGAGCAAAGTGACAAACAACAGGTGTTCAAATCAGACTATAATCCTAGTGATGGCTCCCAAGGAAGTTCACGCAGTTCAACTCCTGGCCCTGACTCTGACCGACTCCACGAAAAGATGCGTCGACGTATTGAATCAGGAGACAAATGGTTCTCCTTGGAGTTCTTCCCTCCTCGAACTTCAAGTGGTGCTGTTAATCTGATCTCCAGGTGAGCCTTCTGGCACAGAGCAGCAATCAATGGCTGGGTGTACAGAAGCTGTGTGCAATGGTGGAGTTGTTGGGTTCTGTGACTGGGTAAATTGGATTGCGCGAGGAATTAACCAGCATCTTAAAGTGGAGGGGAGGAAGTGAGAAGATAATTTACAAAGTAGACATTCTCCCAAACTGGATCTTGCATTGTTCTGTCATTGGGTATTGGCTAATCTCTATAAACCTAGCCTTACTTGGAAGTAAATGGAACCCTACCCTGTTACTTGTATATGCCTGTTTTTGTTTGCTGGGAACAGCAGTATTTTTTTTTTTAAATCATTCACAGGATGTGGGCTTCACTGGCTGGTCCAGCATTTATCACCCATCCCAAGTTGCCTTTGAGAAGGTGGAAGTGAGATGCCTTAAAGTTGCTGCAATTCATACCGGTAGACCCACAATGCCATTAGGGAGAGAATTCCACGGTTTTCCACTGGTTCAGTAACCCAGCAACACTGAGGAATGGTGATATATTTCTAAGTATGGATGCTGATCGGCTTGGAGGGGAATGGTGCAGGTGGTGGTGTTCCCATTTATCCGTTGCCCTGGTCCTTCTAGATGGAAGTGGTCATGGATTTGAATTTGCCTATCTAACTGGATTATTATATAGACACACTGTCAAAAGCATCACTCATGAAATGATGAACTGTTAATTCTGGAGCAGGTTTACTGTGGTGCAGCCTGTGGTGGTGCTGGAGTGGCTGCCTCATTGGAGCAGCCAGGACTGGCCGACTATCACTAGTTGGTGACCAATACTCCTCCCAATGCAAATATCCAGACAGACAATCAGTCTGCATGATACTAGGTGGAGTGGAACAACCAAAGCTGAAACATAAGTTCGTCAGCCATAGAGATACGCAACACAAAGGAAAAGCTGTAAGGTTGGAGATATACGGTGGAATGTTTCAGAAAGAACACTGATGTCCTCAAATAAGTGTGGACAGAATCAACTTAAATGTCAGAATGAGACTCATTTGGTTTCAACTTCTGTTTCTTTCCATAATGGACCAAACACAAATGGCCACCTGGTTTAATCAGAATGTCCAAACCTGTCATGTGCTGTGGTCGTGGCTAGTTTAACATCTTGAAGACATGTTTTAGGTTTTCTTTTATCTCCAATCAAAAGTCCCTCTGCTGAAAGTAACGACCCAGCCTAGACCCAGTTCCAATGTGGCTTTTCTTGAGTGATGGCTCTTGCTTCATTATATGTTGTTCTTTCTTTTATCGGATTACAAACTTCACACATGTATTGGTGGGGATGTCACAGATAAAACTGGAGCTCACCCTTAGTTGCTGAAGTAGAGTTGGGAGCGTTTTCTCTTGATTCCTCCCTAACCCGGATACTGAAGCCAACTGCGGTATTCTGCCCTAACTCTGATACAAATTGGTTACAGCAATGATGCATCATTTGTATGACTTCCTGTTTAAACTTAATGGATCAGTGGAGAATCCAAACTTGGGACTTGATCATTTGTACTTTGAGATGTCTTGTTACAATCTGCTGACCATGGCCTTTGTTTGGATTAGGTTTGATCATATGGCTGTTGGTGGACCACTCTTCATTGATGTAACCTGGCATCCTGCTGGGGACCCCGGTTCTGACAAAGAGACTTCCTCTATGATGATAGCTAGTACAGCAGTAAATTACTGTGGTCTGGAGACATTGCTGCACATAACCTGTTGTAACCAAACCAAGGATCAGCTATCTCAGCACCTACACAAGGCTCGGAATCTGGGTCTGAAGAATGTACTTGCACTCCGTGGTGGTGAGATATTGACCAGTGTTCTGCTTCACGTCTGTTCACTTTATGCTTTTCTCTTCCTACATTAGAGATGTTTTTGGTTGATTTCCTGAACTCATGTGAGTGAATTCACACCACCCTATCGCCGACCTTAGTTCTAACATTTATAGTGTATACACACAGAAGAGAAGACTATCCAGCAAGTTCAGTTTCATATATTGCAAGATCACCCAAATATTTTGTTTTTATTAGCAACATGCCTCGAGCTATGAAGAACTCAAAGTTTAAACCTGAAGTTGTTTTCCTACTGAGCTGCCTTGGGTTCAATAGGTACATGCTCCCAACAGGTACTATGCTACCAGTTGTCCCAAATTTGCTTAACAGCCTTGTGAATATGGAAAATTTATTTTGTTTAACACTGAGCTCAAAGATTTCCCATCAAAACCAGCAAGCAACTCTGGCCAGCTAGAAAATCATTCAATTAATTTCTATATCTTGGATTGCTCATAGTGTTTTAGCACTAAGTGTTCTGATTCAGGTTGTATTCACCAATGAGACAATACCAAGATGGATCTTTGAAAAATACCAATAACTTTTCAAACAAGGCAAAGCAAAGATTAAGGAACAGTAACATTTATGACAGCTTGGGTAGTTCATGCCACTGCTCTGTCAGATTTTCCAGAGGATGTCCTGTTATGTCTGAATAGATGTCTTAAATAACATGGGAGAGAGGGGGCAAAGATGCATAGTTTGCCCCTACCCCACCAATGACCTGAAGTACACTCACCTTGCTGTATATAACATCATAGTAAAAGACGGTTGGGTACAGAGATAAGGAAGAAACTATAAACCTCCCCCATTCTCAACTTGCTGCCCCACAGTATGCAACATTCAAATTATCCAATCTTTTCTACACTTCACTAGTCAAAATAAGGCCAGGGAGACCAGAGTGAGATGATAGAAAGTGGTTGTTGTTCAATGGTTTGATGGAATGTATAGGCCTTTAACAGAATTTGTTTGTCTGCAGATCCCATGGGTGATGAGTGGAAGATTGAAGAAAAAGGTTTCAATTACGCCAGTGATTTGGTCAAGCATATTCGCTCTGAGTTCCATGATTACTTTGATATCTGTGTTGCTGGTAATTTCAATTTTGCACACCAAGTTTCTTAGTGTTCCGTTCTCTTTACTTTAAACCAGGTTGACTTAAATGTTACTTCCTTGCAGGTTACCCAACAGGGCACCCAGAATGCAACAGTTATGAGGATGACCTCATACACCTGAAGGCAAAGGTAGATGCTGGTGCAGACTTTATTATCACCCAACTCTTCTTCAAACCTGAAACCTTCATTACATTTTTCAAGGACTGTCGTGCAATGGGAATTACTTGTCCTATTCTGCCAGGAATCTTCCCCATTCAGGTATGTACAAACAGAGGCCTGGAGGCATCCAGGATTCCAGGTAAGAATTTGACATATCTTATGGCATAGGCCTTACATTAAGCAATAATTTCACGTTTCCTGCAGGAGTGCAACTTTTTCTTTCCCACTCCGTAAATTGGTACAATTCAGATTATTGATCTCATTCCCATCTTCCCCTTATCCTGTGGCAGGGTTATCACTCATTGCGACAGCTGGTCAAGCTCTCCAAGCTCCAAGTGCCACAGGAAATCAAAGATGTAATTGAACCAGTCAAAGATAATGATGATGCCATTAGGAATTATGGTATTGACTTGGCCACTGACATGTGCAAGGTTCTGTTGGAATCAGGTTTGGTGCCAGGGCTCCATTTCTATACCCTGAATCGAGAGGTGGCAACTGTGGAGATTCTGAAACGACTGCGGCTATGGAGTGAGGACCCTAGGTAGGTTTGACTAGATAAGATAAATAACACTTCAGTTCACTTGACTTGGATTAGAAGAAATGTAATGATACTAGCCAAATTCTGGATGTACCTGCCCTTCCCTTTGTTTATTCATTAATTTGTGTTCTAGTACATGACATGACTTCAATTTCAGAAAAGGGAGAGGGTACAGCATAGCTAATGTTATTGTGCTCTTGAGTCCAGTATCAGCTGTTTGAATGTATCCTAGCTCTGTCTGTTTTTTTTCAGTACGTTGTCATGGGAGCAGGTGTGTTCAACACCTTAACTTTCTCTTTCCCCACCTTCCTTCAGGCGTGCCTTGCCGTGGATTACCAGTGCCAATCCAAAGCGAAAGGTTGAGGATGTTCGTCCAATATTCTGGGCTTCAAGGCAGAAGAGTTACATCTACAGAACTCAGGATTGGGATGAATTTCCCAATGGAAGATGGTACAATCATTTAAATCATGATCGTTTAAGACTGTGAACAATTGTGTTAAGGTGCCATATCTCAACAATTAATCACGAGTAAAATTACTATTGTAAATATTTGGCCTGACACTCATGCTGGCAGTTGAGCTTTGTTAGCGTATAGTGTATGAAATCCACCTCAATTGTGGAAAAACACCTAGAAGTATAATTCTCAATTCAGTCCTTCCAAACTTAATGATGTCTGGAGTGAGAGTTTGAGCTATGTAACATCAGATTGAAGTGCTGGGATGAATCTGGAATATTTTAATACGAAATGAGCTAAACTGTGGTTTATTTTCTCTTGTGCACTGGGTCTATACAGTAAAATATTACCAACAGCAACATGAGAGTTTATTTAATTTTCTGCTTCCCTAAAGAAGGCAAACAATATGTAGAAAGTAACTATAGATAACATGTAAATTGAACAATTATGGCAAGGCCACCGAGGACAAGCTGGTGCCTATATTGTGTGATTTTTATATTTGTTGTTTTAGGGGAAACTCATCATCTCCTGCATTTGGCGAGCTGAATGATTATTATCTCTTCTATCTAAAGAATGACTGCACCAAAGAGGAGCTGCTGAAGATGTGGGGGGAGGAGCTAGTAGACGAGAAAAGTGTCTTTGATGTTTTCACAGCCTATATCACTGGGGAATCCAACAGCCGTGGGGTAAAGGTAATGGACTGCTGTGATCAAATCAAACTATTGTTAAGAAATTGCTCTCGTATTTATTGTAACTAATTCATAAGAGTTGAGTTTTAAATTTAGTAGTAGTTTATGGAAATTTAACATTAACTTAATGTCATTTCATACTAATTTCTTACTCTCCTAATTGTTTACACAAGCTGCTACCAGATGAAATTAGAGGATAATGGAGTTTTGAGGCTTCTAATTTTCAACTTTTTTTAAATTGGTGGCTTCGCTGAAAATTGTCAGGATGTTTCAGTTTTCATGCACTCTTGCTGTTTTTATATTATACATATGGAGTTGTCAAAGTCCAAGACTGCAAGCCTTGGGGTTTATACCTTATTTTCACATCATTGAACTGGTCAGTATTTCAGACAACTGCACAATTTAACGAACAGAACCTGGTGTTAACAGTTGCCTGCCACGTCAACACACCACCATGTTCCCTGGTCAACCTTTCTGCCTTGCGCTTGCTGCAGTGCTCCAGCAAGGCTCAGTGCAAGCTTGAAGAACAGCATCTCATTTACTGCTTGGAGACCTGGCAACCTTCAGAATTCAATATCGAGCTCAGTAGGTTTAGGGCCTGAACACCACCCTTTGGCCACCCCCACAGCCTAGGCCTCATGATTACATGAGCTGCTTTCAGCACAGCCACCCCATTTTCATGTATTTATTGTACCCATTTTCACATATTTATGGTACCCATTAGCAGCACTTCTTTCTCCCTGGCATGCCATCTGCCCAACTGACTTTCTTGCCCTCTCACCCGTTTACCCCCTGCCTTCAGTACGTATACCACCTTTTCTAGTTGTTCTAATGAAGGTCACTGGGATTGAAACGTTGACTTTGCTTTCTTTCTACAGATGCTGGCAGACCTGCTGAGTTTCTTCAGTAATTTCTGTTTTTGTTTCTAGAGTGATTTTTTTTTTTTGTTACCCAATGCAGAGTTCATCAGTATACAGCAGTGATAATATATAGTATACAGCAGGGATGGTCAATTAATGCTGGCCTGCCAGCAGTGCCCATATCCCATGAAAGAATAATAAGAAAGGAACTCTTTGTGACTTCAGGTTTGTGTATTCTCAGGTGACCTGTCTACCCTGGAATGATGAACCTTTGGCACTAGAAACATCTCTGATGAAAGAAGAACTGGAGAAAGTGAATCAGTTGGGAATTCTCACAATAAACTCCCAGCCTAACATCAATGCTCGACCATCAACTGACCCCATTGTGGGCTGGGGACCAGAGGGAGGCTTTGTTTTTCAGAAGGTATGTGTAAAGAGAATATTAGGAGAGTAAAGGTATGCTACTATTAGTTTAGAAATTGCTAGTTTGGAATCCAGGGCAAATGAAAAGAGGCTCTGAGTAAACTTATGTCTTTACTCTGCAGCTCAATCCTACTTTTCATTCTACAGGCTTACCTTGAGTTTTTTACCTCCTCTGAAAATATACCTACTCTACTTAAAGTTCTAAAGAATTACAAAACACGAGTGAACTACCAGATCGTAAATGTGAAGGTAAGGACAAAATAGTTATGGGTGGCGCCACAAGTTTTGCAGTAAAGGATATAACTTAATAATTGTTACTTTAAGAAGAAAACTGAAGAGTTCCACCACCCCCGCCCCCCCCCCAACCCTGATCCATCTATAGACTGTTCATTCATTTCTCATTCATTTGCAGGTTATTAAGGCTTTACTGATACCTTTAATCAGGAAACTAAGCAGGAACTTTCTAGCTCTGGGCCTAGAGAGAGCATAGATATACTCAATATTTGAGTTCATTGGCTACAAGCTGACATAGATCCATCCTATATTGAAAAAGATGTTGCCTTTGTGGCAATACTTCCTATCCTCATTTGACTATATAGCAGCATAACAATCTTTGCTAACTGCAGTGGACAAGTCCACTAGCACATTTCCTTAGTTACATGTAACTGTTCATTTTGAACTGTGCTCCTCTGCAGTGGAAACCAGAGTGATAGGGATATCACAAGGTGTGACCAGGGTAGAGCTCTCACTTCGGGTATATCCCAGGGTGCATCAGCAGTGAAATGCTGCAGCATAGCACAATCTCTCCTCAATGTTCACAATCCTGCAGCTTCAGTAGACATCGGCTCCGATGGAAAAAACCTTTATGTAAGCCTTTGCTGTCTTCTACATTCTCACATGGCAAAATTTCAGGGAGTCCACAATAACTTGATTATGATTGCAGTGCAGAATGACGTGATCAACCCTCTAGACTGCCACTTGGGTAATAACTGTAAATAATCAGTTGTAGAGTCACTCAACCCAGTATTGGAGGCTGACAGCTTCCTCCAACCACTTTTGCTTGGACATGATACAAGGATTATGGAGAAGAGCTCTTTTGGAGTCTGCAGTGTAACATTTACCAAGGAGACCAAATTGACCACAACTTACTTTATGGAATGTAACGGATTCCACATTACAACATCTGAGAAATTGAACTGACTTTGTATTCAACAGAAATGGGAAAACTGGGACATTGTAGTCATTTTCAGCACTTTCATAAGCTAAAATTGAAACTTTTCTAATGTTGCAGGGTGAAAACATAAATAATGCCTTTGATCTGCAGCCAATTGCAGTCACATGGGGGATTTTCCCTGGACGTGAGATAATTCAACCAACAGTGGTTGATCCTGTCAGCTTCATGTACTGGAAGGTAATGGATCAAATCTTGTCAGGAATAAAATACTATAATCTGCTAGGTTGCTTTGTTAGGTGATTGTGGATGTATTTTTAACTATTCTATATCTTTCCTCGGCAATGAATCTGAACACTGATCCTCAATCTGCCCACTTGTAAGTGTGGCAGCTCTCAAAATATTTCTTGGGATTTCTACTGCTACTTTGAGTGGATGACTATTCAAAGACTTGGTATAGCCCCCTTTTTTATTCAAATAATCAACAATAGAATTTCTTGCATTAATCCCCTACCTCACATAGGATAAAAGGCACAAGTATATTTTTTTCTCTACAATGTGGGGCAGAAGTGTACGAGTAGACTGGAGGGAGATGTCTATGTGGGGAATGAGGGATGCAGTGCGTGTTTGGGTGTAGTGGAAAGTAGTCTGCAGACTTGGTAATGCTTTGCTTTGTTCTCAGGATGAAGCCTTTGCCCTGTGGATTGAACGATGGGCCAAATTGTACCCAGCAGGATCTCCCTCTCGACAGATAGTTCAGGACATCCATGACAACTATTATCTGGTCAATCTCGTGGACAATGATTTTCCATTTGAAAATTGTCTGTGGCAGGTTGTTGATGATCTCTTCAAGTTAAAAGCATCTGAAAACACTTGTGGGACAACGACTTGTGATGTGCCTGTGGAACCGTGAAATGGCATTGTGCAGGATGACTAACTGACAACTAGACTTTGTTTAGGGAGAATACCTCACCCAATCTCCCATGTACTAGTCAGAATTGTTCTCCTAGTGGAATGGACTTTTACTGTAGTGTTTGACTCTGTTTGCTGTGACTACTGCAATATTTTCGCAGCTCTGTGTGTGCAAGCACTGGGTTGAGTGAGGTCATGGTTCAGGTTAATGTGGAGATTCCGTTTACTATTTCTCTGCATTCTTATGGTTTGATGGGGCAGTGTTTGAATCTGAAAACGTATCAAACGACTGTTATTCACGTAGAGATGATAATGAATCATAGGACCAGACAGAGAAAGGGGTGTCACTTCTGAAACTCTCTTTCTTTACTCCATATCCAGAAGTGTGCTGTCTAACATACAGCAGACTAACCAGACCGGAAATAGCACGCCCATGTGTACTCACCAGTCTGTATCTTCCCTGTACTAGGCAGTCACTGACATACTAGGCTTCATAAAGAAATACTGTTCATGAGAAATTATTTCACTCCAAAGGAAAAAGGGATCAGGAATGAGCAGCTGACATAAGCAGCTGGGGCAGGTTTCCTGGATAATGGAATGATGTTCACCAATCCTAGCCCACCTCCATTCATCACATTAAATGAATCTGATTTGATGCTGATGTCTCATCATACCAGGCTGGTGCCAGGGGTGAACAACAAAGTGGCTTAAACCTTTATATAGTTTATGATTTGCACAATCTGGAGAACAACTGACTCTAGCTGTTATTCACCTTGATAGTTCTGACTCCTGTTTTTAAACTCTATAAAATGAAGTAGAACTAGAAAATATGTTTTTTTTTGCAGCAACAATGTATTGCTTTTGTAAATATCCATTTGTTTAAATAGCACTCCTAATCCTGATTTAAGCTAAGTTTAGGAATCAGTCTTAACAAAAGTTAGCACCAAGCTTGAACTGCGAAATTTAGTGTTCAGTATTGTTGCAAATAAGTACATTGCTGGAAGCTGAAACTTCATAAAGATCTATTGTGACAGTCTGCAAAAATATGACCATAAGCTTGTGCTGTGACAATGGCAACTGTGAGCAGCTCTGGGAATTGCAGAGTCTGGCTTCCTGAAGCCCATGCTGTACATCAGAGAAAGCCATACTATAAGTGGTTGGACGTGAAAGCAGTCTGTTTTCTGGCTGTGGAATGATCAAATCTTCAAAGCAATTACAAAGTGTCTGCTTGTCTCAGCAATGGCACTCTTCTTTAAAGCATGAACTTGCAGACTTCAGAAACACAAAATTATTGTGGTGCAGCAGGTCATTCAGACCACGGTGTCTGCACCTTCTTCCCAAATGAACATTTCAGTTGGTGTCATTCTCTTGTAACCCTACAGACTGTTAGTGTTTTGGCAACAGTCTTGTTCCTCTTTGAAGGCTTTGTCCAGACTCATGGTTTTGAATACCTCTACCAGATTTCTTCTCCACCTTCTCCAATCTATCATCCCTGGAATCATTTTGCCAGAATCTTCTCTGCAATCTCTTCAAATGCCCTTTATATCTGTCCTAGTGTGACACTCAGTACTCCAGTTGAAGTCAAGGTGTGTCTAATGCAAGTTTAATGCAACATCCTTTGATGTTTTACTTTAAGCCCCAATTAACAAAGCCTACAGTACTGTAATTAACCAAAAGTACTTTTCCTGCTGCTGAGTCAAAAAGAACCCCCCCCCAATTGGTCTTCTTCCTAAACTCTTAACCGCTGACATGGCAAGAAGAAGGTATCTATCCTGGACCAACTTGCCCAATTATTTGCTTTTCTCACCAGCACCTTTGCTACCGCCAGGGAGGGGAAAGTTGTATCCTAGGTCATGAATGAATGAGGAAATCCATTAGAAATCTTCCTCCAGCCTGAAAAACATCCATTTACCGTTTATCTTTGTTACCCCTCTCAGCCAAGTTTGTTTCCTTGTTGTTACTGTCCCTTTTAATCCACGAATTACAACTGCTCAAGTCTGGTATTTGTCAAGTTTCCTTAAGTTCCAACAGTGAATACATTGTTTTCTGAAGTAAAAGATTGATTTAAAGTCCTTTGGGAAGTCCTAAAGATGCTATGTACATGTAAATTCTTTGTCATGCTATGAACTATACTAAGTTCCTGAGACTTTAGTGGTAGGAAACCCTAGCACCAGGAATTAGCAGGTTGTTGCTGAATAGATTTCTACTTGTTTAAAGCATGAACTGGGGTTTTATTTCGAGCAGATATTCTACATGGGATGAACATATTTTGTGACATTTAGTGCTTATAGCTTTTTATAGACAGCAGGGAGTTCACGGAAGGAGTTCTGCTACAACACAAATTGTTTTTAGGATCATTAATAAGGTCAAGTTTTAAATATCCACGCCACCATTGAACAGATGTGGGGTGGGGGAGGTGCAGAATGTGGAGGATTAGTGTGTGAAAGTTCAGGCAGCCACAGTATTTTTTCATTTGTAATTCTTAAAAACAAAGCACTGAACAGTGTTAGACACATTTTGTACAATATTCATACTTTATCTTATCTTTTAATTGATCAAAGCTTTGTAGAAGCACATGTAAAAATAGACAGAAGACAATCTACTAATCTGTTAAGTTGCTTCATGTAGATATGGTCTCGTTCTTGACTCTGAGTCAGAAATTCCCAGTTTGAGTTCTACTAGAGAACTTGATAGTCAAACAAGGTGTGTTCACAACCCAGCCAAAAAGACTGAGAATTAACTTATAAATCGTTCCAACACATATGGGTTCCTCGTGAGCCATGTGATGGAAATAAAGTTAGAGCATCCATAATCACTACCCAGAAGTTTCAGATGACATGTATGTCAAAGTGCATGACACCACAGCACCTTGGCCACAATTTTCTATACACACCGTACAGTCATGCAAACACTCCCTCACCCTCTCAGAGCCATAATCTGCAGATTATCTACTACCGGCTGAAATATGGTGCCTGCAACATTACAAGCATCCACTGCTACAGTGCACCTCATTTCAGGGTGCCTTGAAGGTATTTCTGTATTGTTGGCTCATAATAACACAACTCCATTAACTTATGAATATATGAAAAAAATCTGAGCTGATCTACCAAGTCTGTGCTAGATGTTTTCAAATCCACTTTATCAGAGATGTTATTACGCACTTATAGAGCGGGTGGGCCTTGAATCTGGCTCTCCTGGCCCAGAGGAAGGGCTCTATGACACTACTGCATGAGAACCCTTCAATTCTGCCCTATTTGTTTCTCCAACACTCCAATAATTCCATGATGACCTAAACTGATACCAGCTTTCAATTTCAGATTTGTAGATATTTTTCTAAGAGATGCTTCAAGTGTACCCTAGATATTTTTAATCAATCTGTGCAGAAATGTTGGTACACACCTCTGGAACAGGTGTGACTTGAACCTGGGCTTTTTGGCTCAGAGGCAGGGATGCTACGACTATGCTTCAAGAGCCCATTCAAGTCTGCCCTATGCTGGCTAGTTCAATGACCATCAGATGTCACCCATATAATCTCCTGGGAAAGGGAAAAAAAGTCCTGTAATAAGTTAAGGCCAGTTTTGGTAAAACTCCATTATTCTGATTGAATTCCAATTCCAGTAATTTAGCCAAATATAGAAAAACTATTCTTAGCTCATCCATTTCTCCCCTGAATGCATGCGGCAAAAATTCTCATGTCATATGCAGGTTGACCGTGTCAGACCTGACCTAGCTTTGTGCCTAATTAACTTGTGTATTTGGGCTTTAGTAATGCTTATTGAGCTCATTGAAAGGTCTGAAATCAAAGTTTGTTTAAAATGCCACAGCCTCTGCTGTCAGTTCTATCTTGGTAACTGAGAGCTTTTCAACTTCCACTCTTAGAAGCCTCCTCGGTTCTTTTCCAAAGCTTGTACGTCACCATATGAAGGGACCAAAATTCACAGAATAGTTGTGGTGCAGGAGGTCACCATTTGGACCATCATGTCTGCACGACTTTCTCAGCATTTTAACTTCGTGCTAATCTCCTACTCGTTCCCTATAACCCTGCATGTGGAACACACACTCCTGGATGTGCTCCAACCAAGACAGGAGCCTGTTTCTTGTTTTAATCTTTAATTGTCCTTACAATGTATCCTGATTTTCAGTAACTAATATCGTGCACAGCAAGTACACAACCTGTACAAGGAAATTCTCAGTCCTGAGTAGACATCACCTTTGGATTGAGGGAACAGCTGCAAGATCAGGCATGATGTACACATGTCAAAAGAGCCACAATCCACATGCATCACGGCCACCACTTAGCTAAAAGACATCTAGAAGATACAATTCTATTACCACTGTCTCCCAAACCTTCCCAACTGTTCCATCAAGGTCTACCTGCATTCTGTTTATTTCATGGCATCTGTACATTTCAGTCATAGGTTGCTAATAGTTCCTGATGATTTTGTACGAAGGCATTGCTAAAGATGAAGATCAACAGATCCAGGATTAATCCCTGGAGGCTTCCACTAGTGATTTGAGTCCACCATGGGCCACTTGCCAATACTAATTTTCTTTTTACTATTTGCCACCAATCCACAAGAATTGTCTTTGGTTGGTAGCCTTTTGTGTGATACCAAAATCTGCTCTGGGAAATCCTTCATTAGCTCTTTATCCTAAAGAGTTATGTTCCTTCAAGAATATGTGGATAGTCCAGAAAAATGCTATTGAGGTTGAAGATGAGCCAAGATCTAGTTGAATGACAGAGCGTGTACAAGGGTTGAATAGCCGCCATAGCCGCCTCTTGTTTGTATTTCATATGTCCCTATATCGTACCTTCTCACAGACATGATTGTTTATTTAAGCCTATAAAATTATTTCTGCTTTAGTCTAAATTTGCTTTCAACATTATCTGTTGTTGTGGTTTGGTTGATGATGAATTTAACAATATTGCCAGGGCCACTATTAAACTAGGTTCTGTGTAAAATATCACCAGATCAGTGATACAGTATGTAACATTTGCCAGGTTCTGGTGTCTCAAATGTAATGCTACTCATTATTTTAAGTGCAATAAATTTCACATATAATGAAAGACAGGTCTGCATTTAAACAAAGCTTTTCATAACCAAGGGACATCGCCAAGTGCTTTAAAACCATTTGAAGTGTTGCCACTGTTGTAACATGACAGCCAATATTATTGCAGTTAATGCCCCTGCTTTTCTTTGATACAGTGCCAAGGGGTCTTTTATGCCACTGACACAGACAGATTAAAACTTGCCTTTTATATGAAATATTATAAATCTATACCTCTAATAGTACTGCACTCCTAGAGTACTGCAGTGTGGTTCCAGCTTTGATTTTCATGCTCCAGTCCTGAAATAGGACTTGAACTCAGAACCTTATGATATAGAGGTGAAAGAGCCACTAATTAGTGATAATGCACTGGTGGAATATTGTGCTGTCATGATTGCCTCTATTGTATAGAGTATCAAGACATGTTGGTAGGTGCCATGCATCACTATTCATTAGATTCAGAATGTTGCGCAGCTTGGTTAAAAGTGCATTGGCTGCTACCTGAGGTGCCGTTCCCCAAGATACAGCTAACATTCCTGCCTCTTTCATTTTCCTGCATCTTTTCACCATTCTATTTTGTTTTCATTAGTGTTCATTAGCTCTTTGGAACATCCTGGTATCCATACAATTTGTTGTTGTAGAAACTAATTGATGTTAGGGGACATGAATCACACACTGTAGTTTCAGCCAACAAGCAAGTGCACTGAGTTCATGAAATAAATAGATACTTTGCACAGCTGTAATGCCAGACTGGTCTCCGGAATGAATTCCAGCAACACCAGCTGTAACCAAATCTGTTCTTTACCATAACCAGCCTACTCTATATTCAACAGAAAACTCTGATGTCAGCACAAGTTCTGTTCCAAAAAAGCATGGAGATTTTAAAGCAAAATGTTGGATACGTTAATCTGTATCCAAAGAGGACAAGTTGATATTTCAGAACAGGTTTTTAATCACAATTTAGTGAGATTTGAATCAGAACTGAGGAAATGTGGTTAAGATATAGACTGTACATTTTAAATCGATGGCAAACATGTAACAGACGCATTAGTAATTTTCTTTTACCAGACTCCTTCCTCAAAAAGAAAAGAAACTGGGAATTCCCCATATTTTGTGTAGATCCTTCCAATGCAGCTTAAAATTCAGAAATCACTGATAATCTATAAAAGGCTCCTTTTCCCTTCAGTTAGAAATCAGCCTTAATTACTCCTCACTTTGCTGCATCTTCTAAACAGTATCATCATGTCTAAAGGAATTCAAAGAGACACCAGCAAGAAGTTTCAAACCAGATGAAGTCTTGGTTTAAACCTTGTTCCTGGATTAGCACCCAGAGAGATGTCTGACAGCCAGTCTACTTAAAATATTAACTATATTTGTTCATGGCTTTAGTGTACATACAGGCCTGCAGTATGACGGACTGGGTCTTGTAACACCACTCAAAATAGCCAAATACTGAAACTCGCTGCTCTCCCAATCAAATATATTGGAAAACATATCACCAAAAGGCTGAACAATTCTGAATAATTTATTTATAGTTCACAGAATGAAATACTGGAATTAAAGAATACAAATTCCAAAATTTTCCAAAGCACAGGAATTAGAAATTTGCACAATTAACTTGTAAGAACATAAAGTATAACTCATTTAAAAGCATTAAAATCAAAAATTGATACTAATGGGTTACATCCACACAGAAAGATCAACATTAACAGCTGGGAAGAAAACACACATTTAATTTTATCATTTCAAATTGATTCCACATTTTTTCCATTCATTAGATTCCCCAGTGCAATGAGTCATTCCCTGAATAGGACCACAGGGCACTGTCTGCAATTCAGGTCTTTGTGATGGTTCTCATGGTCTGGATGTAATGGACTAAAAAGTCAGATGTTAGGTCTTCCTTATCCTGTCTGTAAGGAAATGCTCAGCCATTAAACTGCTTAATTGAGAGCAGAAAACTATCTAAAGACCAATAAGAGCATCTTGGCACTGACGATGCAAGGTCTTGTCCATATCTGAAACAACTTGCAGAGGTCTTGATAATCCTTAGATTCAGCTTTCTGTTCATCTTGACAAACAAAGAAGCCACAAGTCCATACTTGCAAAGTTCCCTTGCTGTAATTGTGCACCATCCTGTTTTACAACAGCTGAACCGTGTCAGGTAGGGAAAACTTTTTTTTGGGGGTTGGAGGAATGGTTAAAACATGCATATCAGGTTCGTTTATGCAGCAAATGCCTACAATGATGTGAGAACATCAGCTTTATACTGTAGAAGCATAAACCTCAACATCTTCAGAGACTGAATTGTTCCCTGCTTAAGTCACAACCGAGCTTGTTTTTATTACAATATTGATGATCATAATATATTGGACTTTGGGTAATCCAAGATAGAGGATGGGAAAACATTGTGGCTGTAAGAGCTTTTTTGAGGTATTTTTGGTGTTGAAGTTCATTTCCTTGAATTCTAGGAGCAGTAATCACTGTATTATAAGCTGTTGCATTGTTTTGGAGCTTTGGGAATAAAAAGATCAAAACAGTGGCACTTTACTGGCAAAGGAAGTGGTGGAGGCTGGTGCAATTACAACATTTAAAGGCATCTGCATGGGTTTGCGAACATAATTGTTTAGAGAGATAATGCTGGCAAATGGAACTAAATTTATTTAGAATACCTGGTCGGCATGGACAGTTGGACCAAAGGGTCTGTTTCTGTGCTGTATATCTCTATGACTCTGACTCTACATGTGTAATATGTTGCATATGTATTATGCAACATATTACTTGACTTGATAGAGGTGTACAAAATGATCAGAGGTATAGATAGAGTGGACAGCCAGAGACTTTTTCCTAGGGTGGAGGTAGCTATTATGAGGGGGCATAGTTTTGAAGTGAGTGGAGGTAGATATAGGGGAGACGTCAGAAGTAGGTTCTTTACTCAGAGAGTGGTAGGGGCGTGGAATGCATTGCCGGAGAGGGTAGTGGAGTCGGCCTCATTAGGGGCATTTAAGCAGCTACTAGACAGGCATATGGATGATAGTATAAGGTAGGGGCGGAGGTTAGATAGACCTTAGGTTTAGAGTAAAAGTTCGGCACAATATTGTGGACTGAAGGGCCTGTACTGTGCTGTACTGTTCTATGTTTTATGTTCTATATCTTCCAGTTTAAGCAATTTAAAAGAAAATGCTAACTCTTCATTTGATGATTAATGGTGTCCCAGCACACCTTGCCTGATTCAAGGGGACAGCCATTTACTTTATGGTTGCCACTGCCAATACAAAGTGAGAGAGTGGTCCAAGAGAGGAGTATACAGGACTGTATCTGGGAAACTGAACAGCAGCTCCAGAATCCTTCTACCCAACCTGTTTGCTCAGATAACCAGACACCAACATAGGCGGATATATTCACTAACCAAAATGACCCATACTCCAAACTAAGGGAGCAAAAGTATAACATAGGGTGATAGTTACTCTGGACTTAAAGGAGTGAAACTTAAATTCAAAGAGGTGAAGGCAAAAGTTATCAGCAATTAATTGCTGTGAAAGAGCAGCTCAATGAGTAAATACACACCCAGTGTTACTCAGCCAAGAAATGCACTGGTTTCATCTCAGCCAAAAAGTGGTGGGACAACAACTAGCTTTAGAGAGAGAAGAAATCATCCAAAGGTTTAAAAAGGGAGTAAGGCAAAAGATGGAAAATTATAGGCTGATTAGCCTAACCTCAGTTGTGGGTAAGATTTTGGAGTCCATTGTAAAGGATGAGATTTCTGAATATTTGGAAATGATTAGTAAAATAGGGCAAAGTCAGCATGGTTTCATCAAGGGGAGGTCATGCCTGACAAATCTGCTAGAATTCTTTGAGGAAGTAACGAGCAGGGTAGATCAAGGAGACCCAATGGATGTTATCTACCTGGACTTCAAGAAGGCCTTTGATAAGGTGCCACACAGGAGGCTGCTGAGTAAGATAAGGGTCCACAGTGTTAGAGGCAGGGTGCTAGCATGGATGGAAGATTGGCTGTCTGGCAGAAAGCAGAGAGTGGGGATAAAAGGGTCTTTCTCAGGATGGCAGCCAGTGACAAGTGGTGTTCCACAAGGGTCAGTGTTGGGATCACAACTTTTCACTTTATACATTAATGATCTAGATGAAGGAACCGTGGGCATTCTGGCTAAGTTTGCAGATGATACAAAGATAGGTGGAGGGACAGGTAGTATTGAGGAGGTGGCGAGGCTGCAGAAGGATTTGGGCAGGTTAGGAGAGTAGGCAAAGAAGTGGCAGATGGAGTACAACGTGGGAAAGTGTGAGCTCATGCACTTTGGTAAGAAGAATAAAAGCATGGACTATTTTCTAAATGGGGAGAAAATTCAGAAGTCTGAAGTGCAAAGAGACTTGGGAGTTCTAGTCCAGGATTCTCTCAAGGTAAACTTGCAGGTTGAGTCAGTAGTCAGGAAGGCAAATTCAATGTTGGCATTTATTTTAAGAGGACTTTGAATACAAAAGCAGGGATGTACTACTGAGGCTTTACAAGGCTCTGGTCAGGCCACATTTGGAGTATTGTGTGCAGTTTTGGGTCCCGTATCTCAGGAAGGATGTATTGGCCCTGGAATGGGTTCAGAGGAGGTTCACAAGAATGATCCCCCAGGAATGGAAAGCTTAACATATGAGGAACGTTTGAGGACTCTGGGACTATACTCATTGGAGTTTGGAAGGATGAGGGGGGATCTAATTGAAACTTTCAGAATACTGAATGGCCTGGACAAAATAGGTGTTGGGAAGATGCTTCCATTGGTAGGAGAGTCTAGGACCCAACAACACCGCCTTAGAGTAAAGGGAAGACCTTTTAGGATGGAGGTAAGGAGAAACCTCTTCAGCCAGAGAGTGGTGAATCTATGGAATTCACTGCCATAGAAGGCTGTGGAGGCAAGGTCATTGAGTACATTTAAGACTGAGATAGACAGGTTCTTGATTATCATGGGGATCAAGGGTTACGGGGAGTAAGCGGGAGAAGGGGGTTGAGGAACTTATCATGATT